CATTTATGTTCAAGACATTAAGCATACATATGAGCAGACAAGTGTCTTAAGGGCATTGAGATTTCTTACACAATTGGCATTAGCTATCATTTGAAACGAAACTTAAAGCCATAGCATTTAGATAAGCAACGCATACTTTAAACACATTATCAAATAATAGTACAACCTAAAAAGAGCATTTGCATTGCATATTGATCACGGATGTCTTTTGACATAAGTTTATCCGGGTTAATCGATTCACAATGGGAAGCTCGGGATTACATGTATATTGTAGGGTTCATTCCTAAGAGAAAAGGTTAGCCAACATACCTCACTTGAGCTTCCTTAAACTCTAAAATATTCCGGAATCCTTAGCAACTTCGATCTATTTTAGAAATGTAACAAATTGAACCAAAATTAGGAAAATGATCATGGTTCTAGCTCATTTGAGCATTTTATCAAACACTAGGTGTGCATTAAGGTATCAAGGTCCTTTTATGGAGGATTCCATCATCCCACAACATATTCTTTACTATTTTTAGTTCAACAATCTTCCTACACCCCATGATAACACATGCATGCAAAATAAACAACTCCCAAACCAAAGAATTATCTTACTAATTACCTATTCCTAGTTAAATTTTAAAATTAAGGGTTGGGGCGTAGTATCTTACCTTTTTTGGATGAAGACCTTGTGAGTTACTCTAGAGAAATCTTCAAGGTTTGAGCAAAGATTGATGAATAATGGCTTAGAACTCCTCTTCTCACTCTAGACCACCTTCCTCTCTCTAAAATGTCAGTTTTAACCTTCTAAAATGACCCCTAATAGTGTTTTATGAGAAGGAGGTCGGGTTGTAAAAACCCAGAAATGAAGCTCCGAAACAGATGCGACCGCATAATGCATCTGCGATTCGCGAAATGGGACACGTTATGGTCCTCCAGAACTGGCCAGCTCTGCCCGGGTATGCGGCCATTCTGCGTTCCGCATATCAATTCTGTGATCGCACAATGGACCGCAGAATCTCCTCCAGAAATTCCTCATTCCTAACCTGCGATTGACTTTTCGGTTCGCAATATAATTCTGCGGCCGCGAAATGGACCGCATAGTGGCCCACAATTTTTGCTCAATTTTCTGCTTCACTCTGCGGCCATTCTGCGGCCGCATAGTAGGCCGCAAAAATGTCTTTTCCTGCCAACATTTTCCTTTAACTCCCTAGCGCACTGTTCATCCCAAAAAGTCCGTAAACATATTAGCCTACCTCGGCACCACGGAACCTCGGGTTTTAGGTGAAATTTTACGGGGCCTTACATCCTCCCCCACTTAAGATTATTCATCCTCGAATGAGGGTATAAATCAGTCATTAGTACTCAACATGACCTAGTTGTTACTTCACACACCAACAGTCCTAATTTTGACTAACTCCCCAAATTCCCTAAAATTTTGGCAGAGTTTCCCTTGTAACTGGGCCTATCCACCTGTCAGAGAAACCCAAAAACCAATCCTAACAGCATGTGCATAATCCAACGATGCAACACAATATGAAACAACACCAATCGTGGCCTCATAAGCAATATATTACTATAAAGGGAACCTCCTGAGCATAAACTGTACAAGTGATACATAGTTCATAGGAAGTAATTTCATAAAAACTATTACATAGCTATTCAAACAAATAATGGTACTTCTTATTCATTTCTTCCTCGGCCTCCTAGGTAGCCTCTTCAACCTGCTGCTTTCGCCATAACACCTTCATAGAGGCAATTTCTTTATTTCTCAACTTTCGGACTTACCTGTCAAGAATGGCAACTGGAATCTCTTCATATGACAGTTCTTCATTAGCCTTAATGGTCTCAACTGGCACGATAAGCGATGGATCTACGACTACTTTCTTCAACATAGATACATGAAATACCGAGTGCACTAATGACACCTAAGGTGATAGCTCAAGCTTGTACGCCACCTGACCAATCCTCTAAATGATTCTATACGGTCTGACATACCTCGGGCTCAATTTCCCTTTCTTTCCAAACCGCATTATACCCTTCATAAGGGAAACCTTCAAGAATACCCAATCATCTTCTTTGAACTCCAAATTACTATGCCGAACATCCGAATAGGGCTTCTGGCGACTATGAGCAGTTTTCAACCGATCCTTAATGACCTTAACCTTCTCCATGGCCTGATGCACGAGGTCTGGTGCTATCAACTCAGCTTTGCCAATCTCGAACCACCCAATGGGAGATCTACATCTCCTACCATATAATGCCTCGAATGGTTCCATCTGAATACTAGAATGATAACTGTTGTTGTAGGCAAATTCCATGAGTGGCAAATAGTCATCCCAGCTACCCTTGAATTCAAGAACACAAGCGCGCAACATATCCTCAAGGGTCTAAATAGTCCGCTCTGCTTTCCCGTCGATTTGTGGATGAAAGGTTGTCTTAAGATTCACCTGAGTATGCAAACCTTGCTGAAATTTCTTCCAAAAATTAGTCGTGAACTGTGCCCCTCGATCAGAAATGATAGAAACTGGAGTGCCATGAAACCTGACTATTTCCTTGATATACAACTAAGCATATTGTTCCACTGTGTCGGTAGATTTAAATGGCAAGAAGTGTGATGATTTTGTGAGTCGATTCATAATCACCCAAATTGAGTCAAACTTGCGCGGAGTGTGCGGTAGTTACACCACAAAGTCCATATTAATCATTTTCCACTTCCACATTAGAATTTCTATGTTCTGTGACAACCCACCGGGCCATTGGTGTTTGGCCTTTACTTGCTGACAACTCGGACATCTTGCCACAAAGTCCGCTACATTCCTCTTTATATCATTCCACCAGTAAACTTCTTAAGATCATGGTACATTTTTGTAGAGCTCGGGTGCACGGAATACCTAGAAGTGTGAGTCTCGGTCATGATTCTTTCCCGGAGACCATCTACATTTGGAAACATAGCCGCCCTTGGTACCTTAGTGTACCATCATCCATGACAAGAGAAAAATCCATAGTCTTATGTTTATGAATCCCCTCCTTCAATAGTACTAACAATGGATCGTTGTATTGCTTCTCTTTGACTTCCACAATAAGTGATGATTCAGCCCTATTTTGCACAATTACCCCTCCTTTATTAGAGTCTGCAAGACGAACTTCCAATCTAGCCAGCCGATGAACTTCCTTGGCCAACGGCCTTTGATATGCCTCCAAGTGATCCAAACTACCCATACATTTCAGCTAAGAGCATCCTCCACAAGATTGGTTTTTCCCGGGTGATAGAGAATATCGATGTCGTAATCTTTGAGTAACTCCAGCCATCTTCTCTGCCTCAAATTCAATTCCTTCTGTTTGAAAATATATTAAAGGCTCTTATGGTCCATGAATATCCACATGGACCCCATATAAATAATGATGCAAATATTTCAATGCAAATACCACCATCGCAAGCTCTAAGTCATGTGTTGGATAGTTCTTTTCATGATTCTTGAGTTGCTTAGAAGCATAAGCTATTACCTTGCCTTGTTGCATTAATACACACCCAATTCCAATCCTTGAAGCGTCACAATATACAAAAAACCCATTTGTACCCCTTTGGTAGGGTCAACACCGGTGCCATAGTCAATCTTGATTTCAACTCCCGGAAGCTCCTTTCACAAGCATCTGACCATTGGAACTTAACCGCCTTCTGCGTCAATTTAGTTAATATAGAGGCAAAAGTGGAGAACCCCTCCACAAATTTCCTGTAGTAACCAGCTTGAGCCCAAGAAACTGCGAATATCTATTGGAGTTGTAGGTCTAGGCTAATTCTTCACAACTGCAATCTTCTGAGGATAAACCTTAATTCCTTCTCTAGAGACGACATGTCCCGAGATTGTGACAGAGTCAAGCCAAAATTCACATTTTGAAAACTTTGTATACAACTAGTGCGATGTAAAGTCTAGAGAGCTGCCCTGAGGTGATCGGCATGGTCCTCTTGACTTTGTGAATATACAAGGATATCGTCAATAAACACTATCATGAATGAGTCGAGGAACGACTTGAAAACTCGATTCATAAGATCCATGAAAGTTGCCGAGGCATTTGGTAGCCCAAAAGACATCACCAGAGAAATTCAAAGTGCCCATACCGGGTCCTGAAAGCTGTTTTCAGAATATCATGCTCCCTGATCTTCAATTGGTGATGCCCGAATCTTAAATCAATTTTGGAGAAGTACTTAGAACCCTGTAATTTATCAAACAAATCATCTATCCTTGTAGTGGGTACTTACTTTTTATTGTGACTTTGTTGAGCTGCCGGTAGTCAATACACACCCGTAGTGACCCATCTTTCTTTCTTATGAAGAGTACCGGTGCGCCCCAAGGCGACACGCTCGATCGGATGAAACCCTTCTCTAACAAATCCTTCAATTGTTCCTTTAGCTCCTTCAATTCCGCCGGTGCCATTATGTATGGTGTAATAGATATAGGTTGCATGCCTGGCATCACATCAATCCCAAAATCAATCTTCCTGTCTGGTGGGATCGCAGGAAGCTCATCTGGAAAGACATCCATAAATTCATTCACAACTGGCACAGACTCAAGTGTAGGTGCCCCAGCATCGGTGTCCGTAACTCAGACCAAATGGTAAATACACCCCCTATGACGATATTTTATAAATGTCCTATTAAGCTACACAAATGTCACAAAATCGTTTTCCGACATTTATTTTATACTTAGTTCAAGTGTCGTAAATTTCAATGTCGGAAATTTTCCGACGTTTATTTTAATGTCGGTGAAATATTTACGACATTTAGTTTACGACTCTTATAAAAGGGTTGCATTAAAACTTGTGACATTTCACATAATGTCAACAAGTTCAATACGGGTTTTCAACTTATTTCGTTTACGACATTTAGAAGTGTCGGAAAATTCTTGAGTTATTAGTGATACTTGTACAACACATCTTGCCAATATAATAATTAATCATTCACATTTGCACATACTTTGAGAGGACAATTACAATAAATATAGAGCTGAAATTATATTTTGCTATAATAAAAGTATAACCTTCAAATTTCTAATTAAATACCTACAAGTGTCATTCAACATAGACAATTTGAACTGTAATAAATAGAAGTTCTCTATAATTAATTACAAGAATGTATTTATGAATAGCTCTATAACAAATTCTGCAACAATAGATTTCTTCACTTCCTCAACTCTTTCTTTCTCTTTTTCTGCTACATCCCGTCAGCTCCAATTCCTTTGTGCATCCGCCCATTTGATACTATATTGAATTGAGACAACAAGGTTCTCTGAGGTAGTTAACCTATATTTTCATAAAATGGGAAATAACTAGCAGATCATTGAAAGTCAAAATAAGATAGCATGATCTACATGCAAGAATAATTTAATAAAATAAATTTATATAGTGCAGCTATTTTTACGAGTATCCTCGTCCTTATAAGACAACCAGTTGAAGTATAGTTATCTGCTATCAATGAAAAAAAAATGCCTTAGTAAAAAACACATCACTTTAAAGAAAGATGTTGTTTGGCCAAGAAATTTACAAGGACCTTACCATAAGTTTCCATACCGTGGACTTTCTCTCACTACAACTTCACACACACAAAGGCCAGTAGATTTGCGCAACCTCATAGCCATCAGTATATTTCAACCTAGTAAATTCTAAACACGTTCGACTAATTGCACAATTTTCGTAGGGACGAAATAATTAGCAGGGTAAATAGAACCCTATATTTAGACAAGTTAATAGCACATTTATTATTATGGCATTTATCCTTCGAAAGTCAAGAGTTAACTACCATGCAATACTAACTAAACAGGCCTTTAGTGTATAAGGCTAATGATACATATGGATGTGAAAATTACTTACAAGCATTCTCCTGCCACACAGGATAATAATATCTTCATTCACATCTAATGATCGATTACTAGGATCATGCAACTAAGAATTTTGTTAAGTGTACAAGAAACAAATACCCGGTGACTAAAAACCAGCACACATCTAAGTTGCTAACCAGCAGACAATTGAATCAGACAAGGATTGAGAAAATTTAATTCATTTTGTTCATAATTGGAAATGAATAAACAATAGGGAAGGGCATAGTGTTTAAGATGCTTATCAGGCATTTTGTCAAACATTTGTAGGGAATAATTTGTGAATGTGATATCAACATTACTTTATTTTGTAATAACACCCCCACACAGCTTCCATTCAAACAAACCTATATCCATATCACCACCACATCACAACATAGATTAAGCTTCAAAAATTAAAACTCCCAATTCTTCTGCTATGAATACATAGGGAACAAGCAAATGCAATAAATAAACATGGTTGAATTCCTCCGAGAAATCAAAACACTCACCGAAAAAAAGGAATTCAAATCCGATCGATCAATCAAGAAAGAAAAATCCTAATCTGGAGTTATTCTAATGCACAATAGATGAAGAGAAGGAAATAGAGAATGAAGCAAAGAAGAGAGTACACTTTCATACTTCTATTACTAAAGATTCTTGATATTCACGGTTGGGGTGGAGGAATTCGGACGGGATAGAGAAATGGAGTGGGTGGGGTGGG